GTACCGTACTTGCACCGTACCCGTACTTGCACCGTACCGTTTGACCGTACTTGTCACGTGACTTACCTCGTACCGTACTTGCACCGTACCGTACCGTACTTGCCCATCCGTACCGTACCGTACTTGCACGCGTACCGTACGTACTTGCCACCCGTAGCCGTACCGTACTTCCACGTACCGTACGGACTTGCACGCTTCACGCGTACCGTGCACGTACGTCACCGTACGGTACCGTACCGTAGCCGTACTGTACGCGTACTGACTTGTACTCGTACTTGTACTGTACTTCGTACTTTGTACTGTATGACTGTACTTGTACTACTTTCTGTACTGTACTTGTATTGTACTTGGCTGTATTGTACTTGTATACCAGTAAAGTACAGTACCAGTAAAGTACAGTACCAGTAAAGTACAGTACCAGTAAAGTACAGTACAGTACCAGTACAGTACAACACCACAGTGCAAATTAACAAAGCCCAACAACAGTTCAGTGCAATAAAACAAAACACAACACAACAAGATTTACATCAGTAAGAAGTGTTGAACAGTCATTGAAATTGACAACTTAATTGCTGAAAAGACAAATTAATAATCTCTACACACAAGCTTATTGCATCATAATCATGTAATATTATACAGACATAAATAATTATTTCATATACTGATGGTGATTACCAGTGTATTAGCAGAACATACATACTCAAACAGTTTACAAGTTTTAGCTTGCAATATTGCAAAGCCTATTTTGTTTCTTTCGACCTATCACACTATAAAATCATATAATTTTAAAGCACCTGAGTTAAAGCTAATTATATATGCTATGTTAATTAGTTTCCAAGGCTTGAAAATTAATTACAAACCGAGATATTTACAAATGTATATTGTTAAATTCAGATTTCTTGAGCATATTTCTTACAATAATTATATTTTTTCTTATTAAAGAGTGAACTAGATGCTATAGGTGCTTCTCTCTTCATTTCTAACTTTTGGAATTTACGAAAATTCAGATTGCTGAAAATCACACCTGCATCATTTTTATACATGTACTTGGACTGCTTGAGAAAAATATGTAAATAAAAGAGAAGGGAAAAAAATCCTTCGCTTCAATCACTAGTTACTGAAAACTATTAATTTTTTCAAAAAATGTACATGATCTTATTTTTGCAATTTCTGCAATACTGAGAGATTACTGCCAATGGAACATTTGCAAGAAAAAAAATATTTTTAATCCTCTATAGTTAACGCATAATTACCTACACGCGGGCGCACGCCCACCCCCACACACCCAACCACTCCCACACACACACACACACACACACACACACACACACAC